CTGTTGTCTGTCGTCGGTGTTCTCAGCGGCCGTATGCGACTGCAGTGGAGTTATGGATTGATCCTCAGAGGGGGCAGCCTCCTCATCCGTGGATCGTGGAGTAGACTCCGCACTCCCCTCGCTGCCTTCTTCTGCTCCCTTCTCCGCTGGATGAGTGGGTGATGACGGGGGCACCTCCTGATCAACGGTCTGCAATTCCTTTCCTTCAGTCCGTGAGGGCTGTTCAGGTTGAGATGCATTCTTTTGTGTCGGAGCGGGAGACTCATCCAGCGGGGCATCGGTTTCGATCTGCCCTGCAGATGGAGGAGACCCCGGAGCACCACCACCAGCACCAGAACCACCAGCATCAGCTCCAGCAGCACCAGCTCCAGGAGCAGCAGGACCAGCAGGAGAAGGAGCAGGAACAGGAACGGGCGCAGGAACAGCAGGATCAGGAGAAGAAAGATTAGAATGTTCACCAGAATTCGGATCAACAGTAGAAACAGTATTGTCCTGAGAACCGCTCTCTTCCCCTTGAGAGTGTGGGAGTGGTTCCACCTGCGTCTGGGACTCAGTTGACGCCTCCGGAGGCAGAGGGTGTTTCTTCAGTTCTGCTTCGGCAGCTTTCTGCACGGCATTGATAATACCCTCCAGCTCTTCAACATACTTCTTCGCTTCTTGAGCATTCTTTAATGATTCCTCAGCGTCACCAAATGCATCCTGTGCCTTTTTCATGGCTGTCTCAGCTTCTTGGGTGGCGGCCACCATAAGTCGCAAACCCCTGTTTATCACACTAGGCGCTTGATATCTGGTGAACTGTACAGACAAGAGTTGTTTTGCTTTGGTCATAAATTTCTCTGCTTCCTCCGCCTTCTTCACTGCTTCCGCAAGATGGCCCCTCGCTGCGTCTGCCTTCACCCCCGCCAGCAAAGCGGACTCACGAACTTGATTTGCGCTCTTGATGGTGTTCCCAGCTTTCTTTTCTGCAGCTGTGATGTCTTCGTAGGCCTCAACGAGCATCGTCCTTATCTCCGTGACGTTAGTCAACGCCTGTTCGAGCTGCTCAATCCCGGCCTTTGGGGCATCCGCTGCTGTCGTCGTTTTGCTTTTTACCTCGGAGCAATCGTTGATGGCAAGACCAAACAGATTGGAAATATTATTGATGCTTTTAAGAGCCTTTTGGACTTCGTCGCTCAGCGTCTTTGATTGCGTTCTCATTAATCTCATAACCATTGGATGTCTCAGGTTACTCAATTCATCTAACGACGCAAACGCTGTCGTATGGGCAATTCGTGAATCATTCAGGGCTTTCTCCGCTGCTGTCTTAGCCTCCGTTGCCTTCGCCACGGCTTCCTCCATGCCCTTCTTTCCCTCCAGCGTCATTGACACAGCGAGCGACGACTTGCTGTATACATGCCTGGCCTCCTCAGCCCCAAGCTCTTTTTGGGGGGGCTTCTCGCGTTGGAACCTCGCCCTGTCATTGTCGGAAAGACGCCCAAGGTCGCGGGCCCCATGGGGACGACCGCGTAAAAACGCACCGTAGTACTCTTCGTCCGTCAGCTTCCTTTTCACCCCATTCTCCGTCGTGAACCTACTGGGCATCTGCCAGAAAGGCCTCCGGTCCCCAGCCGCCGCGCACAAGGACGTGCAGCACAGCGCGAGTGCAAGCAGGGGCAGCAGGTGCCGCGCCATCGTCACCATCAATATAGAATGCGGCGCACAGGTCTGCACAGGAGGAAGAGAGACGCACAGAAGGATGCACAAGCACAGCAG